AAAAAAAAAAAGTCACCTTTTACATTTCTATCAAAGCAAAATTTTTCAGGAGCCAGGTTTGGAATCTGGAAGACACAGGTACGTTAGGGTGCTTCAGCTCCTCTTCACAGTCTGCTCTGGGTCCCCAGCATCCATTGTGGGACCCCAGGCAATACTGTGGCTTTTTCACTAGCTGCTTCAGGGATAGAGAATGACAACTTCAAGCCAGGTGTGTCTGCTAAACTGGATGAAAAAAACGTTCTAAGAATCCAGAAGAAAAGCGTGACGACTTGAAGACAATTAAGTCAGAATTGTTCAGGAGCTGAAGCCGCTTTCAACCCACATCTGGGATCAGGACCCTGATGTAGCAGAGGCTGACAACTGAAAGATATTTCCTCAAATCTTAAAGCATTTAGAGTTTAAAAAGTCAAGTCATTTAAATTTTAAACTATATTAGAATGAGGCTGTCTCTGAAGATGACAAGCTGTGGCTGCCTTTCAGCCACTTAAAGCAAGAGAATAATTCACAAATAGTTCGCTCACTTAAAACATTTTTGAGAGGGACCAGAAATGCGATCAGTGAATAGTCCTTGTGGATATTTTGGTATTTCCTAAGAGTTCTGTAAGTAGGCACTTTTGGCACAGCTCTTGCTGTAAACATTCAGGAATCTCTTTCCAAACAGGCAGTCAGAGAATTCAGATCACAGAGTGGCAATCCAAACACCGGCATATGCATGAGGGTTTTCTCTGCTCTTCAAAGTTAGCAAGAGATGGACCTGACCCCAGGCCCAGAAAGTCAAAGCGGCCACCTGTCAGAAACCTCACCAGGCTTCAGAGCCCTTCCCGGAAAATCACTCACATTAGGCAAGACGACTCTTGCACCGCACAGGCCTTCCAGGCTGAAGCAGACCTGAACTTTGGAGAGCTGGCATCTCCAGGTGCCTCACGGCTTTCAGATAGGAAGCTGTGTGATGAGAGAGCCCTCCTCATCCATCCCTCCTTTAGCATAAGACTGCTCTGTATGACAGTGGAGACCATCTCCCCCAGTCACATAAATACGAACAGGCTACCACAGGTTAATTAATATTGGGACTGCCAGGAAAATCCCCAGGAGGAAGGGTTTCAACATTCAGGGCACCACCTGGTTGCAAAGAATACCCCTCCCTTTGTGGGCCGTTACCCCTCCCCCACCATTATATGGCCACAATGGGAGTCTGGCTTTGTGTTCAGCCCTCTGTCAACCTCTGGAGACTCCTACTTCCTAAAATCAAGTGGGCGGGCTTCTGTGCTTAGTGAGTCTATCCAAATAGCTGCACAATTTAGACTCCGGTCTTATTTTAAAATGGAACAGATTTCTCAAGTTAAACCAGATTCTCATGAAGGATGGTATCTGCATTTGTTTTTCTCTGGCTAACAGTCTGAGTGAAAATACATATGTAGTGTAAAGGTTCACCAGGAATAAACCACCATGCTCGGGGAGAGAGAGTGGGAATTTTTAAGAGCTTTAACAAGATCTAATGAGGAATGACACTTTGATCCCATCCTATTACTCTTACTAATAAACAGCCCTGTTTTCAGATGCACAAGAGTGTCCAAAGGTACTATTAAAACCAATCCCCACATTTATTAGTTATAAATGTAATTTATCTGGCCGCCAATGACAAGAGTAATTTGTTATTAAAAATAACAAGACCATTAGTCATTACATCTTTTTTTTTTTT